TGCTGCTCATAAATCAACCACAACCTCCCAAAAAGCAAGTTCACAAATCACAGTATACTTCAGAAAAGGTGGCTATGAAAACATGCACATAGCACACAGCTTTATGCATGATAACACTACACAGATACATTTATATACAATTATTCTAACAACTTTGTCCTGTATTACTGTGAGAGTATATAATAAACTAAATAGTCAGCAAAAAGCTAATGGAGAATGAACAAAGGCAGGTTAGATACAAAACTTACGGTAAACTTCTGCCTCCAGTAAAGCACATTCAAATAAAAAATACTCTTAATTAAAAACAGGAACGGATAATAATTGTAATAATTTTATATTTAAAGAACTTTCAGAAGTTTGAATTCTGAATATGACAGCTTTTCCTTTAAATTTGTGCTACATGTATGCCACTCTGACGGCGTATGCTGAACTGACAGAATAACGGCTCTGGTGATTATAACTCAGGTTGCTTTCCGAGTCGTTTGACCCAGTTAGACACGCGTCACTGATGCTGTTCCCACTGACTAAACAGGTTTAATAGCCTGTGGATTGTTTCTGTTTGCTCCAGCGCTGTAGTACTGCTTATTGGGATGTCAGTGTTTCAGCCCTAAAGCAACAAACATGTAAAAAGGCCGTCAGGTGTTGTAACACCTGTATCAAATGGAGTTTAAAAAAAAAAAACCACTGAATGTTGAAAACTGTATATCACATACTAGTCTTATGTTTACATTTTATCACTGCTGCACTTTAAAAATGGAAATATCTTAAGAGCTGTACTGAACAAAATGTCTTTTTGTATACAAAAGGACAACAAAATCTAAGTCTCTAAGAAATTCATCAAAATGAGGAGCTGATCCTATTCCTGCTGAACCCTGCAGTAGGAAAGACAAACTCAAAGCTGTCATAAAGTAAGAATAATTTTATTTCAGTTATTGTTGTTTATAGCTTTACATCACACAGATTTAGTAGTAAAATAAAGACAAAAATGGAAGAAAAAAAAACCAAACAGTCCCTGTAAACCTAAACCTAGACAAAGCAGGGTTCGCACACCTTTTCCAAAGTCAAAATCAAGCACTTTTCAAGCACTTTCAAGATCCATTTCAAAACTTTTTCCAGCACCTTAC